CCCCACACACACACACACAAAGACAAGCTTCCACCGAGTATACGTCTCACATCATCGCTCCTTTCTCTGTCTGTCTGTCTGTCCGTGTCACGAGCAGGTTTGTGCGTCGCTACAGCAGGCGCCAGCCCATCAGCCTGCGCACCAAATTCGCAGCCGCATCAGGTAGGTCGGTGGGGGAGCGCAGAGTGACAGCATTCTCATACTGCCTGCTGGGTTCTTGGTTTCATTCAGATGAGGGGTTGGATTTGTTGCGTCGGATGCTGGCGTTCCGTCCATCTCAGCGCACCACGCTCGACGAGGCCCTCGATCACCCATTCTTCGCTGACGTCAGGAGCCCGGCGAGAGAGGTGAGGGAGGGAGGCAGCGACAGGGTGGGAGCCAGGGAGGGAGGAGGGAAAGATTGGTACCTAGACATTTTCTCTCCCGTGTGTGTGCATAATGTGTCCGTCCATCAGTTCAAGGCGAACGAGCTGCTATCGCTGCCCTTCGACGACTATGCCGACCTCAACGAAAACCAACTCAGGTGACGTTAAACACCCACCCACTCTTTGATCTGATCAGCCCCCCACAGAAGCCTCACACTACACCCACATACATACTCTATGTGCTGCTTCCTTTCACTTTTTGCTGTGATCAGGTATGCGTTCCTGGCGGAGATTCAGCGTTACCACCCCGAGATGACCATTCCCGAGAGCATCATCAAGGCGAGCGGCCCTCTTCCACAGCCGGAGAAGCGGTTCAAGAAGTCCCCTCTGACCGGCTCACGGCTGCTCGAGGGACTCGTGGCACACTCCAACACCGCTCCGCCCCTCGTCGGCCAGCACCAGCACAGCAACCACCACCACCACCACCAGATGCACCACAACGGCATCAGCAAGGACTCAAAAGACTCCTACCCGGACATGAACACCAGGTGGGGTGGATAGACAAGACTCACACACGGGATGTGGGGGAGGGAGTGGGTGTGGATGTATTGAATGGTCCCCCTTTTCTCGGCTCTGTCTTGGTGCTGTATGTGTCAGGTCGACTACGGCAGGGAGTGCCAGCAGTGGTCAGGACGGTCAGGACTTCGGCATGGGTCCAGCGCCGATGGAGGCCGTGGCGGTGGCGTGACACGACGCCTCACTGACTGGTGGTGGTGGACTGGCGAATGTCAGTCATCGTGTACACAACTACCTTACTTATGATATATGTCTGTAATGAATACTCTGTATGTGTCTGTCGGTATACACGTGCATACGAGCAGCCTGACCGAGACGGGCTGGCTGGCTCTGTGGCTGGTAGCAGTAAGGGGGCGGGCGGTAAGACCCGTGTGGCCGTGTGGCCGTGTGGGTGGGTTTATTGGTTCTGTGCGCGCGCAATGAAAGCCCCCACACCCCTCCCCTCCCCTCCTCTCCTCTGTTGGTCTTTCGTCTCCCTGTCTATGCGTCTACGTGTCCATCTGCCTGCCTGCCTGCTTGTGGTCTGTCGCGAGTTTGCTTGCTCATTTTTCCACACGTCCAGTTCATGCGCACCGTGCTTTGTACGGCCACCATCAGGCTGGTCCGAGCGCGCGCGCGCGCGCGAGAGAGAGAGAGAGAGAGAGAGAGAGTGGCTCATTTCATTGATGTGATGCGTGTTGATGTGATGTGCGTACGAATGCTGTATATCAGTCGGCTGGATGGATGGAGGGATGGATGGAGGGATGGGTGCCGGTGCCGGCCCTACCGTTGGCCGGCCTGCGCCTCTTAGGCGAGTGTTTGCGTTTTCTAGTTTGTTATCGAATTATCGAGAGAGAGGTTGCTGATCTTGTCAGCCACTTGCCGCCCGTGCCGCACCGTCCCATCTTTTCTTCTTCTATCTGGTTTTGACTTATCTGTCTGATGCTTCAAGCATGTGTTTGGAAGCTAAGCTGGTCGCGCGGTTGTGTCGACAAGGGTGTGTGTGTGAATGTCTCTTCTGTCTGTCTGTCTGTCTCTCTGCCTATGTCAGCCGCGCCGTGCGGCTTTTTTGCCGGTGCGAGAGAAGATGGGGCGGCTTCCCTTCCTGAGGGCCGGCGAGGGAGGCATGTGCTGTGGTGTGGCCCAGTATTCATTTCCATTTGCGATGCGTCTGTCTGTCTGTCTGCAGTGTGTGTGGGTGTGCAGAGGGCTTCGCACACGAGACGAGCATCGACAATGGCTGGTCGGCCTCGCATGCGTCGTTCTCCGCTCACTCACACACAGCGGACGAGATGAAAGCACGCCATTGCAATGCATTGACAGACAGTGCTGCAGTCTAATCTGGCGATGTGGCGACCCGACCCCCTTCATGTGCTGTGTCTTATTGATTGTCGTGGTGGTTGTCGGTTCGGTTCCCCCACAAGTGCCGGAAACTCTCACCACGTTCGGTGGCGTGTGGCTGCGCTAACATCCATGTGTCTCGGTTGTTATGTCGTCCGTCACATACTCACACCCACCCAGCGTGATGAAGTGAGTGAGGCAGAGAACCGAACCGACGTGCAGATAAGAATGGAGAGAGCCGAAAGACCAGATCGAGTGAACGCCCGACAGACAGACAGGTGGGGCGGGTTCGTGTCGTGTGCTGTCTTCCAGGCCAGGTGGTTCCTAAGCAAGCTGTTTGGACGGACGGACGGCCTCTGTGTGGGTGTGTGCGTGTGCATGAAGGCGTGATGGGGTGAGTGAGAGTGATGAGAGTCCGGCGAGGCCGACTGACTGACTGACTGACCTGCATGGGCGTGTCCCGTGTGTGGTGGACGTGTGTGGCATGTTTGTCCGTGCTTGTAAGTAATTGCTGCATGGATGGATGGATGGATGGATGGCGCTGTTCACGTGGTTGTCAGTCAGTGTGGTCTGACGTGAGTGAACTGAGTGATGTGGACAAAGGAGACAGACCCTTTGCCATGCCCCCTGTCTCCCCTTAACTGTGCTGCTGCTTACACGATGAACGGCACATCCTTCTCCCTCTGCACCGCCTCACCACCTCACCGCCCAAAGATTTGACATGACTATCAAATCCTCGGTCCGTCGATCTGATCCGATGGATCCGATTTGTCAACATCAGTCAGTCCATCTAGGCACGCGCACATCCATCTGATCACGTCAAATCACCTCAAATTGGACCCGGACCATCCATCCATCCATCCATTCACCGTCACATGCACCCCGGCCGTCAGCCGCAAGCAGCCCTCCCCCCTCCCCCCTCCCATGCACATGTAGCGAGCGACAGCAGACACTTGTTTGTTTGCAGCGCCGGCCAGCCAGAAGAAAACGACACAAGTCATCATGTCAGTTATCTAATAGATAGGGTGGATGGATAGACAGCTTAGATAGCCAACAGAGGTTGGTGGGTCGGTCGGTCCGTTAGGTCAATTAGGCCATCTGGTGGTGGCATCGCATCATGTGCTGACATACGTACTTGAAACGCAGATGGACAAGCAGACAGACAGACAGACAGACAGACAGAGACGCCAGCGTTTAGATGCCAGCGTTTAAACGATGGACAAGCAGACAGACAGACAGACAGACAGAGACGCCAGCGTTTAGATGCCAGCGTTTAGATAATATCCAATACTCACTTACACATAACATAACATGCACATGTCGGTCGAGGTATGTATGCATGACAGCAGCAGCAGCAGCAGCAGCAGTGGGTAGACATTTATTCAGACAGCAGTGAGTGAGGTACACAGCAGCGGTACTCAGATATGTAAGACGATGAGCAGAGCAGCACAGAGCAAACAAAAGCAACCCCCTGCACCTTACCCAGCAACTCCCGGCATCCATCTATGGTAGGTGTGAACCCCACCCCCTCCGCGCATCTGTTTCTTGCGCGCAGACGGGAGACAGACACCCATCCCACATCCACCCAGCCAGCCAGATGAACACCCCCCGCCACAGCACCACCCAGCCCTTTCAACACCACTGTCCCTCCCCTCCTTATATACACGTCTGTCTGTAGCTTCTGCACATATACACATACACATACATACACACAGATCTACTCGAATAAATGCGATCCCTCCCCTCCCCTCCCGTGCGATGTGCCAAGTCAGCAGCCAGCCCGACAAAGATCCCGTCCAGCCCGTACGTATCTTACGCAGGCACAAAACAAAGCCGAACAGCCGCCCCCCTCGCCCAGCCCACTGTACATAGGACATACATACAACACAACACTAGTACCCCACCCTCCCTCCCTCTCCCCCTTTATGTATGCAGACACCACTCCACTCACGAGACCCCAAAGCACTTCACACTTGCAATGCACCCATCCAGCCAATGTATCCCTCCATTGATCCATCCAAGCACGTGTTCGTCTGCCCGTCTAGTTGCCGGTGTCGGCAGTTTCTTGTGTCTCGGTCTCGGCGTCGCCCTCTACCGTGTGGACGACCTCGGGGCGGTGGTGCTTCACTGTCTGTGGGGGGGCAGCGCCAGGCGCAACGATGTAGACTGTGATCAGATCACAGACACAAACAACACAGGCGGTCATGGGGTATGTCATGTCGGTTGTCTGTCTGTGTGAGGGAGGGTGTCTGGCTCACTCTTGATGTCCTGTGCGGTGTCTTCTGGTCCGGCCTTGCCCTCGGGGTCCCAGGGGAGTGCGCGGATGAAGAAGGTGCCGCCGCCGTTGATCATCCAGTCGGGGAGCGGCGTGTACGTCTCGCCCTTCTCGTCGCCGAACAGCGTGTACGGTCTGCACACACGTGACAAGTGAGCGAATGGCAGCTCATGTGATGTGTATGTGTGTGTGGTGTCGTCTGGTATGTTGTCTGTCTGTGTGCGGGGGTCTTACGAGGACTCGTCGAATCCGGTGCCGGCCTGTCCGCCGACGCCCTCTGTGGGGATGACGGTGCGGTGCATGTCCATGACGCGCCACTCGACCTTCGAGATGGTCTCCACGCTCAGCGTGCCGCACTCAGACGCTTTGAACGTGAACTTCTTGCCGGGCCATGCCTGATGACACCCAGCAATACACCAACACACCACACACACATTGACGGCGTGTCTTCGTTGGTGTCATGTCTGTGTGGCGGGCGGGCGTACCTGATTTGTGTCGAGGACGTAGGTGAAGCCGTGCATGAGCATCGTGTTGGCGTCGCCGGTGAGGACCTCGCCGTAGGCGTTGGTCATCTGCATCTTGCGCAGGCTGGTCTTGGAGTCATCCGGGGTGTCCGGCAGCACCTTGAGGCCCGCGAGCTGACGCCTGGCGCCTGCTGGGGGGGCCACCGGCTTGTTGTCCTCGTCCAAGACGACCAGCTCCAGACCCTTGAGAAGCGGCTCTGTGATTGGACAGGGAGGGGAGGGGACAGACAGGCAAGGCAGTGTGCGGGGCGTCCTCTCCCTGTCAGTTATGTGTCGTCTTGCGTGGTGCGGTGCATTCTAACCGAAGTCGATGCATCCGCAGTCAGGGAGGATCTTCACTGAAGCCAAAAACCACACAAACAAACCAGACACACAGGCACATGTCATGTCCACTGTCCCACGGCACGCGCCGCGCCCACTGCCCGTGCCACCACCCATCCCATCCCCCCACCCCACCTGAGAAGTATTTGGGCACGCCAGGGTCGCCCACGGCGTTGTAAGGCGTGGCCCTGAGTGTGTATCCGCCGCCACATCCCTCAAGTTCCTTGATCCAGTCGGGTGCGCCCATGTACTTGGCCTTGGGCTCGCCGGCCGCCAGGGTGGTGACGGTCTTGCCGAAGGCCGAGTAGGGGCGGGACTGGTCGCCGTTGGGCGAGCGGCCGTCCACGGACGAGATGGTCAGACGCTCCCAGTCAAGGAACTCTGTGTGACGTGATAGAGACAACGAATACCGACACGTGAGTGTGTGTGGAGGGGCGGTGCGCTGTGGCTGCGTGTGGTGTGGTGTGGGGGGAGGGTGTTATGTTACCGAAGAGAACCGATGTGGTGTCGGCTGAGGCCGTGGCGAGGAAGGTGAAATCGCTGACCTCGTTCTGCTGGTACATGACCTGGTGGCGGTTCTGGTACTATAGCACACAACACAACACACAACACACGACACAGCACAACGCACCAGACACCACTCACGTCAGTCACCGTCACGGCGATTTCCCCACCCACCAAAGGCCCTCCCTCCCTCGTATGTGCCGTGCCCCGTCCGTACCAGTGGCGTCTTCATGTAGAGTTCTCCCTTCTTGTCGGGGAACCGGTCGTCGTACAGGAGTGCGAACTCGACGGTCTCCAGCCTGGGGCCGTCCAGCGTCCTCTCCTGGTCCACGCAAGTCCAGTCCGAACCGTCGCCAGGCGGGCACATCTCGAGCATCGGACGGCACTGGGAATAACCCTGAGCAATGAAGCGCGGGAGACACACACACAGAACGCAGGCAAACAAACGTCAAGGCAGCCAGCCAGGTAGCCGTTGGGGCGTGACGTGGCGTGGCGTGGTGCGGTGTGCTGCTCACCGCGTCCTTTTGCTTGCAGGTGTAGCCGTACTCCTCGCAGCACTTGGTCTCTGTGCAGTCCTGCAGCGACGCCACACACGTGGGCGGGTCTCCTGCACACAACACACGACAAGCAGAGACAGGCAGACGATGTCGAAACGAGGGTTCCCCGGCCCGTGTTTTGGCAGAAACGTGGCCATCGACACGCAGCGCCCTTCGGCAGCCGTGCTCACCCCGTGCAAAGACGACGAGCGAGGCCACTGACGCGGCGACGAGGAGAGCAAGCTTCATCCTGCCTGGCGAGGGGGGGAAGGGGTGGGCGAACGCCTGCTGCTCGAGTTGGAGGGTTTTCAGGTGTTGTTCGGCGCTGGAGAGAGTTTTTCTTTCGGTTTTGTCGTGGTCCGTTTGGGATGCGTTGCCAAATTGTGTGCAGGGTTTCTGCGCTATTATTCTTTCCTCGGTGAAAGGAGAAGCCGACGCCGACAGCAGGAGCTCTGCCGTTCCTTGACTGTCTGCCTGGTGCATCCCTGGTGTTCCTTTGAAGAGAGCTGGTGGCCATCCTTGCTGCCCGTTTTGTCATCCTGGCCAGGCTGGCCGGATTGCAATTGGGGAGGAACACACGAATGTTTGCTTCTATCTTTCTTTGAAACAGGGGTCTGTCCGACCGTCTATCTATCTGTCTGCAAAATCGACGTGACCACGCACAATGTGTTGCATTTCACAGAATGTATCGGCCCACGCCAATCTGTACACGTGGAGAGAACACTGACACGCTCACACATACTTAAGTGTACCATGGATGGCCAGGCTGTCTCCCTCTCTCCCGCACCCCCTGTTTGTCCCCCTTGGTATCTGCAACAGCATCTAAGCTAAGCTATGCCGCCCCTGTGGCCCTTCTCCTGTCCCTCTCCACCGACATGTTCTTGCGGCGCTGCCCACCGCTCC